AAACAATTTGTCTAATTTTTTTGTAAAAAAAACGCACATATTACACACATTAACACCTGTTAGGCACACACATTACCCTTCAATTACCGCAAGATGTTATCCCTTCCCAGCGAGTTTCATTAGTACAGTGACAGTGTATAATATTATTACTGATCACTGTACTAGTGTCACTGGTAATGTCAGTATCAGCTGGTTAGTCTACCTCCCACCCAATGTCAAATTGCCCGCCACACTATCACAGTCCCACTATAATCGCTGATCACCACCATTATTAATATATAACAAAAAAAATAAAAATTCCAGTATCTATACTATAGTTTGTCAATGCTATAACTTTCACACAAATCAATTAGTATACATGTATTGGGATTTTTTTTTTTTTTACCAAAGACATGTAGCAGTATACATATAGAAATTTATGAAGAAATTAGATTTTCTTATTTTGTTTTATTGGGTATGTTTAATAGCAGGAAGTAAAAAATACTGGTTTTATTTTCAAAATTTTCAGTTTTTTTTTTTTTTTTATATAATTAAAAAAAAAAAAAAAAAAAGCTCAGGAATGATCAAATACCTCCAAAAAAGAACCTTTGGGGGGCCTTTGGCTGCACTTGCTCAGCGGTGGATCTCTTATTCCCACTGAACAAGCGGATGACAGCTCTGTGTCCACTCTGCTGCTGCAGAGCAAACACAGAGCTGCTCGCTCAATGGGTGGTCAGATGAAAATGGGCCGCCTGTCCGTTTTCATCTGACCCGATTCGATGGACAGAAGGGAAATTGTATCCCCATCCATCCCTTTTTGGGGATTGGATGTGGTGGCCTGTTTTTTATCGGACCACCCAGAGCAAGCAGCTCTGTGTCTGCTGCAGCAGTGGAGTGGACACAGAGCTGTCATCCGCTTGCTCGGGTTGGGATCAGCGGAGAGATCCCCCGCTCAGCAAGCAGATCCGCTAAACGGGTCGGCTCCATGTGAAAGGACCCCAAAGCATGCTTGTTTTACTCACTGTGAAGCCTGAGGGGTTAATCCACTGCAGTGCTCTGCTGAACTTGGATAGAAGTCACAACGCTGCTCTAACTGCTGATGATAAAAAAGTATTTAGCAGTTTATATTTACTAAAATAATTGCATTTCCATGTTCTCTGTGCTTTTGGAGACCAGATATAATGAATGCAGGGTCCTGGGTTTAGTAACACTTTAATGCCACTTTTACTATAGTACAGCAAGAATGAGAAAAATTGCATATACAAGTGTACATCGGTTTACAAATGCCTCGGTTGACGTAATTTTTTGGTTCACGAATGAAAATCCATTGAAAATAATGCCTTGGTTTACAAATTTTTTATGAATTTTTGCAATACGAAGTGTCGGTGCCGATTTTTAAATGCAATTGCCGGCTTTTTTTTTCTTCACTATAGCTTACAGAGCTGTCATTTTCCCCGGAGTTAAAGGAAGCTTTGTTTCTTTTAGAAACTAAAAGGAAACATTGTTTCTTTTAACTTGGGGGAAAAAGCTGAAAAGAAACTTTCTCTTTTAGCAGGGGAGAAAGTGACAACTGAATTTGTGAGCTATAGTGAAGAAAAAAAAAAGCAGTAATTACATTTTAAAACCAGCACCATAATGAATAAAAAAACAGTGTGGGGTCCCCCCTCCTATCCATAACAAGCCCTTTGGGTCTCTAAACTGCATACCTTCCAATTGTTCCAATTTCTGTGGGACTGTCCTGGGATTTGACCTACCCCATGTCCCTGTGATGTAAGTCTAAGCAAATACACAGTGGAGTACAAGAGAAACACAAAATAAAAGAAAACTAGAAGCTAAAACAAAATTAAAAGGCATTTACTCAAATTTTAGAAGTCTGGCAAAAAAATGAACGAGTTAGAACTTTTGCTATTTGTGATGGATTTTGACTTTGGAGGAACACAGTGCTCACAGGACTGCGAGAAAGGATATCAGCAATGAAACGGTGTTACAATGGAACAGAGTCTTTATGGCTGCATTCAAGTGCAACAAATAGTAAATGAATTATGGGAGTGCAGTGCTACCACCAGAGGAGTCACTGAATTGTTTTGTGATTTCTCACTTGACGACACACCTTGAAGTATTTCAAAGAATGTATTAGGCCAAGCATAGCCTAAAAGAGGAGAGATTGAGCAGTGTAATTATACAATCAATAAGGAAACATCATTACTCTGAGAGTTATGATTAAACACCTGTAGTGTTCTAACAGTAATTACAATAATAATTAATTAAATTAAACAGTAATTAAACAATAATTAATTCTGTTGATTATAATCAACAGAACTGAACTGCATTTACCAAGCAACAATGTATAAAGACACTTATTGTAACAGTCCCTATTTTGCCATTATATTTGATGTGAGTAACAGAAAAGAGAGATGTGTGGGTACCATTAGAACTACATTTCAAGAAAGAAATACAGTAAAACAAAGTGCCTCCTGTTCATGAGTGTGGTGATGTCATGGCACCAGTTCTCCAAACACATCCACTTCTTTATTGGAACAATGGACACACCACGCTGTGATACCCTCTTAGGACTGGGGAAGGCCAAGAAACATTCTACAAAAACACAACAGAAGGAGGGTGCACCAGTCTATATCCCAATGTAACATTTATCGAATAATAATAAATTGGATTTATTATATACTATGAAACCCAAGGGGTTAAATGTGGAACTGAACCTTAACTTTTTTATTTCAAATATATAAATCTAATAAGACTTATTGTGTGATTAGATTGGGATAACAATATTATCAGTGATTGCATTTAAGATTTAAGGGCATTTAGTTAAGTATATTATCTCCCCAGGTTCATCTTCACATTCATCTTACATTTATTCCCTCCCCTTGAGTGTAGATCGCTGCAGGGTCCCATATTGTATCAATTGGGTACCCATTCGGAGTGTACATTTGCTATATACATAATATAAGTGTGGTTGACAGTTGAGAACTTGAGAATCACTCCCCTTTATTATTTTGCATGGTATTAGAGTTCATCTTTACCCTGGGTATTTGCATATGGAATGTTGTTGCTTTATGTATATTAGTCATATGCTATGGGATGGTTATAGGTGACCTAGTGATGATTTCACCACTAGGGGCTAATATAGCAGCAGTTAAATTAGGCAGTTATATATATTTTTAGTCATCCAAGTATCCAGGGGGATTTTGGTATATATGGTACATGTAGGTATGTGCATTCATCTGTATAAGTGGTCTTTGGGTGTTTTTTACATCCTGGGTAATATCGGAATAGGAGGGTGTTGTTTTATGTATTGAGATATATGTGGGACCTGTGCATTTGTGACCATAGATGGGTATGTTTATAGATTTACCACTAGGGGGCTATATGACATAGTGGGGTTTATTTACTAAAGCTGGAGAGTGCAAAATCAGACTCACTTCTGCATAGAAACCAATCAGCTTCCAGGTTTCATTGCCAAAGCTTCATTGAACAAGCTGAGGTTAGAAGCTGATTGGTTTCTATGCAGAAGGGAGTCTGATTTTGGACTCTCCAGCTTTAGTAAATAAACCTCAGTATGTCTTGGCGTTTATGCACATATATAATTATCCATCTATCTATGGGATTTCCGTTTAATATGGAATGTCTAGGATTGCAATTATTACTATATAAGAGTTTGGAATAGATTTTAAAGTATAAGTGTCAGATACAATCCCATTTTGAAGTAATCCCTTTTGTAAAATGGCCGATTAGCATCCTATGTGGGCGGACGTTCACTACATAAGAGCCAGCTGCATGTCTGATGTGTACATCCTTTGACAAAGTCGTAATGACGAAACTCATCAGCTAGTGACGTCAGACGCAAACCAGAAGTCCAGTGGCGGCCATCTTTGTAGAGGTCCAATGAAGGTGTTGTATGCTGGCGTTTTATACACATTTTAAGCGCTTTTTTAAAGAATAAACCAGTTTGTTTTATTTGGTACACTATGGTCTGCCTATGTTTGGTTTGATTACATTTGGGCAACATGGAGTGGAACATCGACATAAGAAGAGATCGTTGAGGCGTAGTAGTTCACTATGAGATTCCATGCTTCAGACCTAGGAGGATATGGTAAGGTACATGAACCGGCGGGTCACCTTCGGTGGATTGAGCACTGGTTGATGATCATAGAGATTGCAGGAGTACGGGCACAGTGGCACTATTACATTGTATTGTGCAGTGTTTTTTACATTGTATTGAAAATACTACACTATTATATTATATCTCTTTTTGGGGAGTATTTGGTTATGAAAGAAGAAGAATGAAAATGAAGTGTTTTTCAAGATTCATCCACCTTTAATAAAGCGAGGATTTTTGATTGGAGGGTAAGAGAAGGAATTACGGATATTTGTTGATGTCACATGGTGGAGAATTGGCACAAAATTAGCATTTTTTTGTCAGTGTAATATATATTTTAATTTATTATATATAAAAAGATAATGAACTATATGTGTTTTTTTTTTTTTTTTTTGTTTTTTTTTTTGGCATGAGGAGCTGACACTATTTATGAAAGGAGGAAAAGGAGCACACAACGGTGAAACCTTTGGAGGATTAAAGAATTTATAGTATGAATATCCTATGTGACTGTGAGAAGGGACCTTTTGATGTATGATGAATTTTGATGATTGGTTCTAGTTTATAATCATAGCTTCCCAGGGGCGAAGTAATATCCTGGCGCTTGGAAATTTCACATATTTTTGTGTAGTTTGTATCTTGGATTTTGTATATTGTATAGATATATGGGGGTGACAGTGATCATTGGTTTACCCTGGGTGTGGATTTTATTATACAGTGTTGTCTATAAAATCCACCCACTGCATGCTGTTAATCATAATGAGAGAGCAGACCTGATGGTAAACTAATGTCTCAGCTTCACCATCAGGTTCTGCCCACTGTCAGCTTCACTGGTTTATAGGGGCCTGTTGGCTGTGGAACTGACAGCATCCTTAACCAGGGACTGGTGTTATAAATTAATTCATCCAGTTTACTTGGCCTTGACAGGCTTGTGGCTCTTGGTCTTCTCAGGCAGATGTTGGATGTTGGGCAGAACTCCTCCCTGGGCAATGGTTACCCTACTGAGCAGCTTGTTAAGCTCCTCATCATTGCAGCCAGCCAGCCGAGGTGTCAGGGTCTTCTTGTTGTGACAGATGGCATTGCTGGCCAACTTTAGGTTCTCAGTCATCAGATACTTAAAGGTAGAGGCCAGATAGATGGGAGCTCCGACTCTGACCCACTCTGCGCAGTTACCCTTCCTGTCACAGTTTAGCCTGCCTGTGAAATTCTTACATCCTCGCTGCAGTATTTCTGTTAGACCTGTGATCCTATATACATGTGCTGCTGACGTCTGTATCCACCTATGGGCGTTGCCTGCTCTACTGTGGATTTATATCTTTTTTCCTTCTACCACTTCCTGGCCCGCCTCCCAGTCTGCTTTCCAATGTAAAACATGGTCAATGCAGAACATGTTGACTTTGCCATTTTAAAGGGCCAGACTGCCAGAAAAATGTATTTGGGGCTTTACCTCAGTTATCATCTATTCAAATAAATATTATCTGAATTCAATTCATTAGGAGTGTGTGATCTGAGTTCTTACTGAAGTTATACAGTACCTCATATTACACATTTCCTGTCATAATAATTTTATGATTATCTGAACTTTATCTCATCCCCTGTTCATGGTCACAATAATGCATTAAAAGTATTGCATAACCTGACATGTTATGTATTCATAATCTATATATGTTAAAAATATATGTTCTAATTATAACTCTCTTTTATTATGATTAAAAACTGTTCCTACAGTTTTCAGATTTAAAGTAGAGCAGCAGAATTTAAAATGTGATTCATCAAATGAACTACAATAAGAAGAGCTCCATTTATTCTATCCGGTATAGCAGAAAGATTTTCACAAGGTTAAATTACTTATCTTGTAAAACTTATATTTAAGAAAATGATTTGAACTACTTCTTTCAGAGAAGAAACTAGCATACTGAATACTAACCAGGTAATTTTGTAACCGCTATTGCACAGCACAAAAAACTAGCATTAATTTATACTAATTTGTTATTATTATTCAGTATATTAAAATGTTGCATTCAGTGCAGTAAAACATCTATATAACATAGATGAGATAACAGCATGCATGTTATGCTTTTCAGACCGGTATATCCACATATTTAGCCTGTGAAAAGACTTCTGACTCTGTTCAAGCAGTTACGTTGTCAGGACCTTACCTATAGCTGTAATGTTCTAAAAAGTTTTTGTGACTATGAGGCTTTAATTGGTTAAACGGCCTTAAGATATTTTGGAAACTAAGGATTTCTGAGATTGGGATTTAACTGGTATACTCGGTCACTATGTATGTGGTTTGTGCTTGCTAACTGGGGTAATTGGAGATCTTTCAGGCATCAATTTTTTGATGAATTAAGTTAAAGTAGAACTATAGGTAATTTTATTTTTAATTTTTGATAGAGTAAGGGAGATTTCCCTTCACTTCCTGTCCAATAGCCAAACAGGAAATGAGAGAAAATCCCTGCAAATTAAGGAATTTCTTGGGGACCCCAAGATCTCCATAACTATTGGCCGCATTGGAAGATTTACTCTCTATTACTTTTCTAAATATGAGATTTTCTTTTACTTTCACTTTCAATGATAATGGTAAACAGGACAAATTGAAAGGGTGAATCTCCTTAATGGGGGCACAGACAGCAATAAAAACATGTCCTAATCCATCTCCACTCTATCCAAAACTAAAAAAAAATGTTTTGCGTTTAGTTACACTTTAACAAAGGAAATTCCTAGGGGATTACACCTCACACAGAAGACCCCTGAAAAAAAACAGTAAAATAAAGTACAAATAATACAAAGTTGTGTGTAACAACTAACCCAAAATACTCCTTGGGGAGGGAAGAAAGGCAGAAAGATTAGGGAACACTGGATGGTTCAGAATATGCAAGATATAACCGTAAATATACAAGCAAATGGAAGATGCAAATATATAGAGTTTGGAAGGTGTAAGGCATCCCCCCCATCCCAAGGATAGAGGACTGCGAAGTGGAGGTAGCCAGGAAAAGGGGTCACTACTAGTTGGTTGCAGAAGACGGGGTATCTAACCATCTGTTATAGTGTGCTGCTCCCTTCCATTGTATATGGAAGTAATTTGCCATTGTGCAACAAGTCTGCAAGTCTTGTAACATCATGGTTAGGGATCAGGCAGGTTAAGATCAAGTTTGAGGATCAGGTAGGTTGAAGAAATAGACTAAATTGGGGTTTTGCTATAAGGGGGTGTTAGATGAGAAGCTCAGGGTGCCTTGTGTGTACCACCACTGGATTGCCCCATGGTCCTAAGGAGGTCAACATGGCAGTGGTGAGCATATAAGAGGCCTTGATCCCCTATTAGGGAGCTGAGTTAAGGCATCTGTAGAGCCCAAGATAGCAGCTTTTAGCATTGGTGCCAGATTATTTGGGACAGGGTTAAGACACCAGCTGATAGTGATCAAGAGGGACAGCACAAAAATGTGAAACATACCTGGCATGGTCAGTCTCTATATAAGGAGGACCTAGTAAGATTAATAAATTTAAATCTCATGGGTCTAACAACAAAGATGGTGTCAGGAATGGACTTGCCAGTAATGGTGGGACTCACTTGCCTTGTGGGCTGCAGTACCAGGGCTGGCCAGCGGGTGCTCTCAGCAATCAGAGATTCAACCCTGCAGTCAGCCAAAACACCTGAGGCTGATCACAGGTGTATTTAAGGGATGGCCAGACCTGCAGTCTGGGCCTTGGTGTGTGCTTTTCTATGGGCCCCTGTTCCTGTTCCTGTCTGACTGATTCGTTGCTGACCCTGCCTGATCCAGACCTCTGCTGACTTCTCCTGTTTGATCCCTGGCTTGTGACCCCGACCACTCTCTGCCTGACCCCCTGTACCTACCTGCCCGTTAGTTGCTGTACCCGGCTCGTGACCTGACTACTCTCTGCCTGCTCCTCCTGTTCCTACCTGCCCGATTGTTATTGACCCGGCCTGCCTGACTACGCTTGCATTGTATGTATTGTTATCTATGGGTGGTTTGGTTTGGTTCGTTTGCACTGTGTTATGTTTTAGTATTGCACTGCGTTTATGTATTGTTAGTGTTAATAAATTATATTGTTTATAACATATCTGAAGCCTGCGTTTCCCTGCGTCAGTTCACATACCTCTGGTCATACCCTGGAGCCCTGACATTACACCAAGGCCAATCCTGACCAGAAGTGGCTGCACAGGGAAGCCATCTTGGCTTTTTGCTGGGAAGGATGGATCTGGATGAGGTTGTGTATTTATCTCTGCTAGTGTTTGATGACAGAGAATATGCTTATCAGACTCTGAAGGAGTATCCCAGGGATCAACTGCTAGAATGTATACGGGTCGCTCATGTTCTAGTAGATCAGGGCACAGAATTCTCTGAGGTGCAGCCATTGATTCAAGTTTGTGCTGAGTTGGTTTCATCTGGTACCCCCGAATGCAGGGATGAATTTTTGCCGCCATTTAGTGCCGACCAGGTAGAGTCCCTGGTATGGTTATTAGAGGATGATGTGGATTACTTTCTGGAGCGTTATTCTGCATGTTCACCACAGGTACTAAGAGATTGTATAAACCCAGTGCAGTCATTGACCAGACATGCTTTGTGTAAGCGGAGCTTTGTTCAACCATACTGCAGACATGGTCAGACTTGTTGCACCCAGCCTCAGTCAGCTTACAACATCATTCCTCCACTCAAGGCACTCTTCCTGCATCCCCGACAGCACCCCCAGTGACTGCCCAGTATAATCTAACTACCACATACCAGTCCTCTGCTCCCACTCGCTGCACCTATCCTTTCTTTAACCCTGTAAAGAAGTCCTCTGTAGCAACTGCTCCCTCCTCTGTTCCATCTTCCAGCTCTTCTCTGTCCTCAGCTGCTCCATTCGTTTGCAGACCTGTGTTTACTTGCAGTGCTCCAGTAGTTAAAACCAGAAAAAAGTGAAAATTCTTTCCAACCAATACCATCCTGCCAGTATCCAAACCGGTGAGCCTGCCGTCTGAGAACCTGCCTTCCGTGGTTCAGCCTGGTGCCTCGGCACCCGCACTTCAGCCTGATGTCTCTACCCAGCCTGATGTCTGTACCCAGCCTGATGATCCTATCACGCCTGATGACCCAGTGCCCGCTGTCATACCTGGTGACCCGATGCCCGCTGTCGAGCCAGACGATCCAATGCCTGATGACCCAGTGCCCGCTGTCATGCCTGGTGACCCGATGCCCGCTGTCGAGCCAGACGATCCAGCGCCAGATGACCCGGTGCCTGCTGTCGAGCCAGACGATCCGGTACCTGATGACCCGGTTCCCGCTGTCGTGCCAATTGACTCAGAGCCCACTGTCGTGCCTGGTGACTCGGTGCCCACTGCCTTGCCAGATGACGCGGTGCCCGCTGTCAAGCCAAATGACCTGATGCCTGGTGACCCGATGCCCGCTGTCCAGCCAGACGATCCAATGTCTGACCCAGTGCCCGCGGTTATGCAAGTTGACTCGGAGCCCACTGTCATGCCTGGTGACTCGGTGCCCACCGCCTTGCCAGATGACGCGGTGCCCGCTGTCGAGCCAAATGACCTGATGCCTGGTGACCCGATGCCCGTTGTCGTGCCTGATGACCCAGCGCCCGCCGCTCCGCCTGGGGGCCCGGCGCCTGCCGCCCCGCCTGGGGGCCCGGCACCCGCTGCCCTGCCTGGGGGCCCGGCACCCGCCGCTCCGCCTGGGGGCCCGATGCCTGTCGCTCCGCCCGGGGGCCCGGTGCCTGCCGCCCCTCCCGGGGGCCCGATGCCTGCCGCCCCTCCCGGGGGCCCGATGCCTGTCGCCCCTCCCGGGGGCCCGATGCCTGTCGCCCCTCCTGGGGGCCCGATGCCTGTCGCTCTGCCTGAGGGCCCAGCGCCCACCGCTCCGCCTGGGGGCCCGATGCCTGTCGCCCCTCCTGGGGGGGCCGATGCCCGTCGCTCCGCCTGGGGGCCCAGCGCCCGTCGCTCCGCCTGGGGGCCCGGCGCCCGCCGCCCCGCCTGGGGGCCTGATGCCTGTCGCTCCGCCTGGTGGCCCGGTGCCCGTCGCTCCGCCTGGTGGCCCGGTGCCCGTCGCTCCGCCTGGGGGCCCGGTGCCCGTCGCTCCCGCCTGGGGGCCCGGTGCCCGTCGCTCCACCTGGGGGCCCGATGCCCGTCGCTCCGCCAGGGGGCCCGATGCCTGCTGCTCCGCCTGGGGGCCCGGTGCCTGCTGCTCCGCCTGGTGGCCCGGTGCCTGCCGCCTGGTGCCCGGTGCTCCCGCCTGGTGGCCCGGTGCCCGGTGCTGCTCCGCCTGGTGGCCCGGTGCCTGCTGCTCCGCCTGGTGGCCCGGTGCCTGCTGCTCCGCCTGGTGGCCCGGTGCCTGCTGCTCCGCCTGGTGATCCGGTGCCTGCCGCTGCTCCGCCTGGTGATCCGGTGTCCGCTGCTCCGCCTGGGGGCCCGGTGCCTGCTGCTCCGCCTGGTGATCTGGTGCCTGCTGCTCCGCCTGGTGATCCGGTGTCCGCTGCTCCGCCTGGGGGCCCGGTGCCCGCTGCTCCGCCTGGTGATCCGGTGTCCAGCCCGATGTGCCTCTGCCCGGAGTCCAGCTCGATGTGCCTCTGCCCGAGTCCAGCTCGATGTGCCTCTGCCCGGAGTCCAGCTCCATGTGCCTCTGCCCGGAGTCCAGCTCGATGTGCCTCTGCCCGGAGTCCAGCTCGATGTGCCTCTGCCCGGAGTCCAGCCCGATGTGCCGCTGCCCGGAGTCCAGCCCGATGTGCCGCTGCCCGGAGTCCAGCCCGATGTGCCGCTGCCCGGAGTCCAGCCCGATGTGCCGCTGCCCGGAGTCCTGCCCGATGTGCCGCTGCCCGGAGTCCTGCCCGATGTGCCAGTCTTTGATATCCCGCCAGTTACCAGACCCGGCGGTGGAACATTTTGCCCAGCTAGGACTGTTTTTGAGCGTCCTGAGGCCGCTCCTTGAGGGGGGGGGGGGGTACTGTCAGGAATGGACTTGCCAGTAATGGTGGGACTCACCTGCCTTGTGGGCTGCAGTACCAGGGCTGGCCAGCGGGTGCTCTCAGCAATCAGAGACTCAACCCTGCAGTCAGCCAAAACACCTGAGGCTGATCACAGGTGTATTTAAGGGATGGCCAGACCTGCAATCTGGGCCTTGGTGTGTGCTTTTCTATGGGCCCCTGTTCCTGTTCCTGTCTGACTGATTCGTTGCTGACCCTGCCTGATCCGGACCTCTGCTGACTTCTCCTGTTTGATCCCTGGCTTGTGACCCCGACCACTCTCTGCCTGACCCCCTGTACCTACCTGCCTGTTAGTTGCTGTACCCGGCTCGTGACCTGACTACTCTCTGCCTGCTCCTCCTGTTCCTACCTGCCCGATTGTTATTGACCCGGCCTGCCTGACTACGCTTGCATTGTATGTATTGTTATCTGTGGGTGGTTTGGTTTGGTTAGTTTGCACTGTGTTATGTTTTAGTATTGCACTGTGTTTATGTATTGTTAGTGTTAATAAATTATATTGTTTATAACATATCTGAAGCCTGCGTTTCCCTGCGTCAGTTCACATACCTCTGGTCATACCCTGGAGCCCTGACAGATGGCCACCTGGAACGCACCCCTCAGCGTGCGTTCCACTCACCGGAAGTGATGTAGGTCGTAAGAACGGCAGACCGGAAGTGCGTCACTGCGTTTCACCCCTCCCACAGGGCGTTCTCAAGCTCCTGGTTCTTTGGTGGTTCTGGGATCCTTTTTACTCTAGAAGCATGTATCCAGACATTGGAATCAGCAGACAGAACTACGGTTCTCGTCACAGCCATCACTAGGGTAGGTTCTCCGTATGGTCTTGTGTTTGTGATGTTCCTTAACCACTACCCAATCTACTGGCTTGTATGGGTGGGTTGGATCATCTGTGGGAAGAGGAAATGTGAGAGAGAAATCACTGTATACACCATTCAACACCCTATTCAATTCCTGGACATATATTTCCTGGATTATTCCTAAATCACCTGGCATAACTACCAGGGGACCTCTTGTCCAAGGGGTGGGGAATGGCCTGCCCATAAGAATTTCAAAGGGGGAAAGCTTGGTGACTTTGGTGTCATCCTCATCTCAGCCAGAACAGCTGGCAGGTATGACTCCCATCCCTTAAATGTCCCACCTGTTCCCTTCCTTAGTTTTTTCTTCAGGGTCCTATTTGCCCATTCTATCTGACCAGAACTCTGTGGATGGTAGGGTATGTGGAACTTCCAATCAATGCTCATCAGTCTGGCTACCTGTTGTGCAACCTTTTATGTAAATGCTGGTCCTTTGTCTGAGTCTATATTTACTGGACATCCCCATCAAGGGGTTATTTCTTTGCAAAGGATTTTAGCAACAGTCCTTGCATCCTCCTTGTTTGTTACAAATGCTTCGGGTCAGCGACTGAACCACTGCATACCCTGAATGTCAGGTATGCACATACACTTTTTGCCAAATAGATACAATGTTTCAAAACCGCTGTATGGAAGGACAGTCCCAGAACTGTCATTAATAGTCTATTTCTGACAGTTCTATGACATTCCCTCCATACAGCGGTTGAAACAGCTGTATGGAGTGAATGTCCCAGAACTGTCAGAAATAGACTATTTATGACAGTTCTGGGACATTCACTCCATACAGCGGTTGAAACATTGTATCTATTTTTTTCCATAAATGACATTCTGCAGATACACTTAGAGGAGCGCTGCAGATACACTTTTTGCCGGCTTGAATTATTCTTATTTTCATCCTACTTCTTCTTTTTCTTCTTATGAGGATGAGGATGAAGAAGAAGAAGTAGGATGAAAATAAGATTAATTCCAAGCCGGCAAAAAGTGTATCTGCAGCGCTCCTCTAAGTGTATTTGCAGAATGTCATTTATGGAAAAAAATAGATACAATGTTTCAACCGCTGTATGGAAGGACAGTCCCAGAACTGTCATAAATAGTCTATTTCTGACAGTTCTGGGACATTCACTCCATACAGCTGTTTCAACCGCTGTATGGAGGGAATGTCATAGAACTGTCAGAAATAGACTATTAATGACAGTTCTGGGACTGTCCTTCCATACAGCGGTTGAAACATTGTATGTATTTGTTTCCATAAATGGATCCATTTATGGAAACAAATACATACAATGTTTCAACCGCTGTATGGAAGGACAGTCATGGAAGGACAGTCCCAGAACTGTCATTAATAGTCTATTTCTGACAGTTCCATGACATTCCCTCCATACAGCGGTTGAAACAGCTGTATGGAGTGAATGTCCCAGAACTGTCAGAAATAGACAGAAACTGTCACAGAACTGTCCTTCTTCTCATCCTTCTCCTTCTTCTTCTCATCCTTCTTCTCATCCTTCTTCTCATCCTTCTTCTCATCCTTCTCCTCTTCTCCTTCTTCTCATCCTCTCTCCTTCTTCTTCTCATCCTTCTCCTTCTTCTCTCTTCTCTCCTCTCTTCTCCTTCTCTCATCCTTCTCCTTCTCCTTCTCTTCTCCTTCTCCTTCTCCTCATCTTCTCATCCTCCTCATCCTTCTCCTCCTTCTCCTCCTTCTCTCTCCTTCTTCTCATTCCTTCTCCTTCTCCTTCTTCTCATCCTTCTCCTTCTCCTTCTTCTCATCCTTCTCCTTCTTCTCATCCTTCTCCTTCTTCTCATCCTTCTCCTTCTCCATCTTCTCATCCTTCTCCTTCTCCTTCTTCTCTCCTTCTTCCTTCTTCTTTCTCCTTCTCCTTCCTTTCTCATCCTTCTCCTTCTTCTCATCCTTCTCCTTCTTCTCATCCTCCTTCTCCTTCTCCTTCTCTCTCTCCTTCTCCTTCTTCTCATCCTTCTCCTTCTTCTCATCTTCTCCTTCTTCTCATCCTTCTCCTTCTTCTCTCCTCCTTCTCCTTCTCCTCTCCTTCTCCTTCTCTCATCCTTCTCCTTCTCCTTCTTCTCATCCTTCTCTCTTCTTCTCATCTTCTCCTTCCTTCTCCTTCTTCTCCTTCTCCTTCTCCTTCTCTTCTCCTTCTCCTTCTCCTTCTTCTCATCTTCTTCTCCTTCTTCTCTCATCCTTCTCCTTCTCCTTCTTCTCATCCTTCTCCTTCTTCTTCATCCTTCTCTTCTTCTCCTCTTCTCCTCCCTTCTCCTTCTTCTCTTCTTCTTCCTTCTTCCTTCTCCTTCTTCTCATCCTTCTCCTTCTTCTCATCTTCTCCTCCTCTCTCCTTCTCTTCTTCTCTCCTTCTCCTTCTCCTTCTCCTTCTCTCATCCTTCTCCTTCTCCTTCTCCTTCTCCTTCTCCTTCTTCTCATCCTTCTCCTTCTTCTCATCCTTCTCCTTCTCCTTCTTCTCATCCTTCTCCTTCTCTTCTTCTCCTCTTCTCCTTCTTCTCCCTTCTCCTTCTCCTTCTCTCATCCTTCTTCTCCTTCTTCTCATCCTTCTCCTTCTCTCTTCTTTCTCATCCTTCTCCTTCTTCTCTCATCCTTCTCCTTCTTCTTCTCTCCTTCTCCTCCTTCTCTTCTCTCATCCTTCTCCTTCTTCTCATCCTTCTCCTTCTTCTCATCCTTCTCCTCATCCTTCTCCTTCTTCTTCTCCTTCTCCTTCTCCTTCTTCTCATCCTTCTCCTTCTTCTTCTTCTTCTCATCTTCTCCTTCTCCTTCTCCTTCTCTCATTCTTCTCCTCTCTCTCCTTCTTCTCATCCTTCTCCTTCTTCCTTCTTCTCCTTCTTCCTTCTCCTTCTTCTTCTCCTTCTCTTCTCCTTCTTCTCATCCTTCTCCTTCTCTCCTTCTTCTCTTCTTCTCATCTTCTCCTCCTTCTCATCTTCTTCCTCTTCTCTCATCTTCTCCTTCTTCTCATCCTTCTCCTTCTTCTCATCCTTCTCCTTCTTCTCCATCTTCTCCTTCTTCTTCCTCCTTCCTTCTCCTTCTTCTCATCCTTCTCCTTCTCTCATCCTTCTCCTTCTCTCATCCTTCTCCTTCCTTCTTCTCATCCTTCTTCTTCTCATCCTTCTCCTTCTTCTCATCCTTCTCCTTCTTCTCATCCTTCTTCTCATCCTTCTCTTCTTCTCATCCTTCTCCTTCTCCTTCTCTCATCTTCTCCTTCTCCTTCTTCTCATCCTTCTCTTCTCCTTCTTCTCATCCTTCTCTCCTTCTCATCCTTCTCTTTCTTCTCCTCTCTTCTCCTTCTTCTCATCCTTCTCCTTCTCCTTCTCCTTCTCCTTCTCTCTTCTCATCTTCTCCTTCTTCTCATCCTTCTCCTTCTTCTTCCTTCTCCTTCTCCTTCTCTCTCCTTCTTCTCTTCTCTTCTCCTTCTTCTCCCTTCTCCTTCTCCTTCTTCTCATCCTTCTCTCTTCTTCTCATTCTCCTTCTCCTTCTCCTTCTCTTTCCTCATCTCCAAGGGCATTTAAATTAAAGGTACAGTGTTCTGCACTAATTTAAAGGCTCTCTGAAGCCTAGAAACCCTTTTTATAAGTCATCTTCGTAGCGAAGAAATTCGCATCGAATCGAATTTCACACTGGAATTCGCCGAATCAGCCGAATCGAATTTTTGAGAAATAACCCAAGTAATCCACCAAAGTTTGACAATATTGTACCTTATGCCTTGCCACCTTGTGTCCCTCTGTACCCAGAAAATTTAACAGAGGTATACTTTCCTGCCTACAAGCCTCCCTGTTGGGTGAACAAAGTAACAAGTCATCCACGTACTGGAGCAATGTGGAACCATAGCGGGGTGCCCAACTCTGTAAGGATTCTCAGAGCGCCATGAAATATACAGCTTGAGAATCCAGATAGCCTTGGGGCAATCTGGGCCAGGTTAACTGTTTGTCAGCCAGAGTAAAACTTAACAGTAGTTGTGTCTCTTCGTCAATTGGGACAGAAAAAAAAAACGCATTGCTTAAATCGATCACAGTATAACACTGTGTATCATGTGGAATGGAGGTAATTAATGAGGGCACATCTGGGACAATGGGTGCAATTGGAATAACAAGATTGTTAATGGCCCTGAGATCTTGCACTAAACGGTAAGTACCGTCAGCTTTCTTCACTGGATTTACCAGGGTGTTAAATGGAGAAACCACATGTTTCAAAACACCTTCCTTGAGGAGCTTCTCTACTATGGGCATGATACCATCAATCTTTTCTTGTGATAAAGGATACTGCTTTTGGTACACTGGACCAATTCTAGGTTTAAGTCTGGCTTTGTAAGGTGTACAGGGAATATACTCTACATCTAGATTCAGGTTTCACTTTGTCTAAATCCTCCATGCTCACAAAACAGTGAGATGACTCCATGTGCACCCCTCCCTTCTCAC